GTGCACCTCACAACCCTTTTGTATTGATCTGTTTTGTCAATAAACCCTTGTTACACTCACTGCAATTGGGTCCTCCTTCCAGATCCCTGACAATTCTAGGTACTACCAAAAGTCCAGAGTTTTGTGACTTTAGGGCGCTTGATGGATTGTAGCGTGGTAGAAGACTAGTTAGGTACGCAGGAGCTAACCCATTAAGGGCCTTATAGGCAAGTAATAATATTTTGTCCCCGACTGGTGGAGGGCTGCAGTGATGGTTGACTTTCTACAACTTTCTCCCATCTCCCGACTGCATCTCTGGCGCTCAGCCACAGTGATCTTTGGGTTCTTCTTTATCTCTCTCACCAAGGCTCTTCTCCCCCGATAGCTCAGTTTGGCTGGACGGCCAGCTCTAGGAAGGGTTCTGGTCGTCCCAAATGTCTTCCATTTAAGGATTATGGAGGCCACTGTGCTCTTAGGAACCTTAAGTGCAGCAGAATTTTTTTTGTAACCTTGGCCAGATCTGTGCCTTGCCACAATTCTGTCTCTGAGCTCTTCAGGCAGTTCCTTTGACCTTATGATTCTCATTTGCTCTGACATGCACTGTGAGTTGTAAGGTCTTATATAGACAGGTGTGTGGCTTTCCTTATCAAGTCCAATCAGTATAATCAAACACAGCTTGACTCAAATGAAGGTGTAGAACCATCTCCAGGATGATCAGAAGAAATGGACAGCCCCTGAGTTAAATATATGAGTGTCACAGCAAAGGGTCTGAATACTTAGGACCATGTGATATTTCAGTTTTTCTTTTTTAATAAATCTGCAAAAATGTCAACAATTCTGTGTTTTTCTGTCAATATGGGGTGCTGTGTGTACATTAATGAGGGAAAAAAAATTACTTAAATTATTTTAGCAAATGGCTGCAATATAACAAAGAGTGAAAGTTTAAGGGGGTCTGAATACTTTCCGTACCCACTGTATGCTCATATTTTCTTGACCTGGTAAGGACTCTAGCCACTGCATTTTGGACCACCTGTAGCTTGTTTATTGAAGATGCAGGACAACCACCTAGCAGTGCACTACAATAGTCCAGTCTAGAGGTCATGAATGCATGAACTAGCTTTTCTGCATCAGAAACAGGTAACATGTTTCGTAACTTGGCAATGTTTCTAAGATGGAAGAATGCCGTTTTTGTAACATGGGAAATATGATTTTCAAAAGACAAGTTGCTATCTAATATAACACCCAGATTTTTGACTGTAGAGGAAGTAACCGTACATCCGTCTAGTTGCAAATTGTAATCCACGAGATTCTGTGTACTGTCTTTTGGTCCAATAAGTAATATCTCTGTCTTATCCGAATTTAATAGGAGAAAATTATTGGTCATCCAATCTTTTACATTAACACACTCTGTTAGCTTAGATAATTTAGAAGTTTCATCTGGTCTTGTTGAGATATGTAGTTGAGTATCATCGGCATAACAGTGGAAACTAATCCCGTATTTTCTAATAATATTACCAAGGGGAAACATGCATATCAAAAATAGCAGAGGACCTAGGACAGATCCTTGTGGCACTCCATATTTTACTGGTGATAATTGAGATGACTCCCCAATCAAATTAGATATTCAAAATTAATTTGACAGCTTTCAATTTCTGTCAGTATATTAGCTATTTTGTTAGACTATACTGTAAGGTTCCATCCGTTAATGTTAGTTAAAGCATTGGATATTCTGAAACTAACAATGAACTATATTTTTGCAGAATTTATTAATTGTTTGTTTGATGTTTGATTTCTGTGTGTACATTTTTAACTTTTCAGGTTTTATAAATAAACTGATGTATTCTGAATGAATATTAATTAATAATGAGTAATTGTATTTTAATTCTGCAAATTCAGTGTTATTTTCTGGTGCTTTGTGACATGTTGGATATATTGGCTAACAACTAAGTTTTACTCATAGATTAAATAGGCTTTTTCAAATTAATTGCTCACACAGATGTGATTTTTGTAAGACAACTCGACTAGTCGGTTACAAAATTTCATTTTAAAAGTCAATAAAATTATTCTTGGTGGACATAATATTCCTAATTTTCCTAATAATTTCACATTGAACCTCGAAATGCATTTGGAAACAACATAAAGACAATATTTTCAATACTTCATATTTTAAATGTCTTTAAAATGCAGTCTTTTTTACTAAGTAGTACTATGAATGAAAGCTATTTATTTTCAATTTCAGGGATAAAATTATAGCCATTCAACAGTATAATTGAAAGCCAGGCATAAACGGCAAATTATAATTTTTTATTTATCATTTATTATCTATTAATTAAAGTGGGGAACATTTGGTATCAATATTTTTATGTGAAGATCGATCATCTCGATACAACATCAGTATCGCAAATATTGTTACAGCAAGTATAAAAAAATGCAGAAATTAACACATTATTTTTCCCCAGCCCTGGTAATACCTCAGTTCATTTTTAATGCATTAAGTCATAATTAATCACAAATACTGTACACTAAAACTGTGAAAATGCTTCTCAGTGGCATATAAAGTTCATAGCTTAATGCACATCTAATTAATTTAATGCATGTCCTGTCGAGCTAATGGACAGCAGTGCTGCTCATCGAAAAATCTTTTGTACAGTCAGTTCCATTAAAAATGAATATACCTCACATGCAAATGTCACCCCTTGTGCACTTGCTGCTTAGATAATCCTGTAAATGTAATTCATGTAGTAATTTACAATTTCAGTAGACCAAAAAGATGTTTCCAGTGCACTAAAATTAGACATTTTGGAACGATTAAATCCACATTCATTTGGATTTCCACATTGTGAAAAGGCAGAGCTGATTCCTTAACAATCAGAAATGAAGAAAACAAACCTCCATTCCAAAGTCAATATTGAAAGCATCTCAAGGCATTGTGGAGGAATTGTCTAGAAGCATAAAAAGAGAGTGTGACAGCGAAAAGACACTTATGGATGCAGACAAGCAGTGAAAAGGGACCAAAACAATAGTGTTGCACTTCAATGAAGGGCTACTGAGCGTGTGCCATGGCTTCTGACGGCAGCGAGGGACCAGGATTGAGATGAAAATGAGGAAAAGAACATGAAGGGGAAAGAAAAGATGTGTGCGAGCGTGCAGAGAAAGAGAGAGAGCAATTGTTTTTGAAGGGGAGGGGGTTACTTGAGTGGAGCAGGGCTGGCTAAATAGGAATCATCCCTCTTAGCCAATGAGTTTAAAGAGAGAAGCAAATGTCACAGGAGTGAGAGGGACCACCTCCACAAGCTCAAGCACCCTCAGTGAAAAGAGCGCAATGAGCTGTGCACTGTCACATCGGCAGTTGCTGTCTCCTCTCTCTCTCGCTCTCACGCTCCCGCTCGCTTTCGCAGGCTGTCAGCTGGAAGCATCAGCGTAGGTAAGACTTGCATGTTACGTCTCTGCCTGTAGATTAGCAAAGGATGCCTGAATGGTCATTAAATTGTGTCTGATTTGCCATTTTGTGGGGAGTTAGACGTGTTTCTCCTGATAGAGGTGCACTCACAGAAACTGAGGAGGTTCTTATGTAAGTGCCGTGGCTCAGAGCTGATTTTACGCAAACTTTGATATGAGACGAGAGGAGAGAGTCACAGCAGCAGCTTTGAGATCCGTTATTCCAGAGTGCATGAATTATAAACAAAGGAGGGCTCTAAATGAATGGAGTCACTTTGTGTGGTCTCCTAAACATGCCAGTTCAGGTGGTCCGGTCCATGGGCAGGTAAATCAGCGTTTAGATGCAGCAAACCTCAGGTTAAAACGACAGCTGTGGATTTTTTTTTTGTTGGTGGTGGCTTTCACTGCGTTCAGCATGTTTTATCTTTCTCCTGACTGTAATAAACGCCTGCCGGCTCTCGCTTAAACCAGGGTCCCAACTCCAAATCTTTTTGTTCGAGGGGGGTGTGCTTAGACTAATCAATTTCATTATGTGTGAAGCAGACAACAATGTGGAAAGGTGTATGTCTAATGCAGGTTTTTTCAAAGCTGACTGTGGTTGTCAATAGTTGTTACTATCAATGCATGAGGCATTGATGCTGAATATGTGGAATATCTACAACATTTCTCCAATCAGCAAATATATTGTGGGCTGTTGTTGCTTCGCAGCAATATTTTTGTCCCAGGAGTTGGATGTTGAAGTATTTCTTTGAACTTCCATGACTCACTGACGCTTACCTGCCCTACTTTGAGAAAAGGATGATAAAGTATTATTCATACTTCATGTAGGAATTCAGATGAAAGCCTTACAATCTATTATCTGCATCGCTTTTGCCCCATTTTCTCAAGAGTACAATACTTGAAAGTTTGATCAATATGTCAGACGGGAAAATGCTTTGTGTTATTTAGTCAAGGCGACACATGGAGATGGCTGTGTGCGGCCCACATGTCCGTTTTGTGTTGCCTTTAAATGGGAGTTTTGAGTCAGTTTGATTCCTTTTCAAAAATATAGAAGATGCTGCAAACTTCTGGTTTTTTTTTTTCACATGCAAATGAGTTTTGTGGTGGAATACATGTGAGTTTGATGCAAATTTGGTGCAACTTTGACAACAAATGCGCGCTAACGTCAATACTTTAGTCGTCTTTTTCACACTGTCGTCTTTTCTGATAAATAAATAAATTCAACTCACCACTGAAAATAGCTCCATTTGGTCAACATACATCAGTAATGTACGTGTCTCTTATATTTCATTTATACTCTTGATGCCGTGTGGAGGAAGAGCGCTGTTCTGCGGCAGCATTTCGCCTTAATCGGCGTCAACCATCAGACGTTTGATCATCGTCTCTATCTAGACGATTTTCAGCCAACCAGGACGAAGACATACCTCCCCTCTTGAGAGTCATCTCTAACTGTGATTAACCAAGCACAGCTGAGCTCTCCTGTCTCTTAGAGTTAGTGGATGTACGTTCTCTCGCGTCGTTTGTTTTCAGTTGTGGTGAATTAAAGCTGAAAATGAGAAACTGTGCTCGTGCTCATTGGCTGCTTGCTCTGTTTTTGCAGTCGTTTCTGGAGGCGTCTCAAGTGTGACAATCAGGCAGAGTAATGGCAGGTGTGGACTGATGCATATTCGCAGGCTTGAATCATTCATATAAATAAGATGGAGAGCTCAGGGCCCGACTGTGCCGAGGCTCAGAGACTGGCTGTGAATCACTCTAACACCCCGTCAACTCTGAGAGCCAGCATCGGTATAAAACTAGAGCGCTTCCCTTATAGTCAACAAAGTTGTCTACAATGCTAAAGTGTGATTTGCAGTGTAGGCTGCTTCAGTGATTATACTGAGAACAGTCTAGTATAGTTGCATTGTGTCGTGTAACTTGCTTACAGTGTTAAGGGTTTATAGAATACAGTCAGTATAAAAGAAAATTAATTGACCTCATTAATCTCAATTATCTCATTGCAATCTCAAGATTTCCTCTTCTATAGTTTCAGATTTTGACACAAACTGCAGTTAAATTTATCAAATTAATAAAGTCTGCTATTACAAGCCAGAGATTTTAACCAGGGGTTAGAAACATTTGTTAATTCTGAGCAGAGCAGCTTTTTTTATGAGTTTTTTTTTATGTTGTTAATATAAAAAATGTTGTTAATATATCCTTGCTTTTATTCAGCAAGGATGCATTTACACTGATCTAAAGTGACAGTAAAGACATTTATAATGTCACAAAAGATTTCTATTTCAAATAAATGCTGATCTTTTGAACTTTATATTCATTAAAGAATCCTGAAAAAAATGTGTTATAGCTTCCACAAAAAAACAGTAAACAGCACAGCTGTTTTCAGCATAGGTGATAGTGTAAATGTTTATTGTAGCAAATCAGCATATTAGAGTTATTTCTGAAAGATCATGTGACACTGAAGACTGGAGTAATGACTGCTGAAAATTCAGCTTTGCATAAGACGAAATTACATATTGATATTTATTAAATTGAAAACTGTTATTTTAAGTTGTATTAATATTTCACAGTATTGTTACTTTTAGTGTATTTTTGATCAAATAATGCCATCTTAGTGATCATATGAAACTTCTTTTGAAACAACCCCACATTTTTAAATGGTAATGTAATTGCATGAATAATGATGATTGATATTGATATATAACACATTACAAGTTATGTTATTCAAAATGTTTATTTATTTAAAAAAAAAACTTTGTTCTTTTCTTTAATGAAAAATTATCAGAGCAAAATAATATCATTATTAGCTGATTTATGTTTTCTGTTACATTCTACTAAAAATAACATTTGTTTTCAGCATTTGTTTTTTTCTCCTTAAACCATTTCTAATCCCTGATACAATTGCACACATCTCATCAGATTTTCCTAAAATCAAATTATCTGATTTATGCTGTCCATATTAATTGCATAGCTCTACATATTTACCTGTGTGTCAAAAATCGTCTTATTAATGTATTTTTGACTTAAGGAATTTTATGAGAAACATCAAGAAACATGTTTCTTCTGTCTTTGACTGCTAATTGAACGTCACCTTTCTGTTAAATGTAAAACTTTAAGTTTTGGTACAAATAAAAGTACAAATCATAGGGTTTTTTTTACGCTTACTGACCCACATCAAGTTGATTTCCACCATTTGCTGCGGCACACACAGAGCGATTGAAGTTACAACAAAGCATGAAACAATGAAACAAGACAGTGTTCAGTCAAGGGTTCCCTCTTAATACAAAAGAATGCTGTAATTTCATTGAAATACACCTCACGTGGAAACCAGCTGTTGGTATTTTTCTGCCATTGCTTGTCCATGACACCCAAAGACTAATTTGTCTGTTGATGAAAGCGATTGATTAATACTCGAATTAAATGCCGAACACATCTCCGCACACATATCGCTGAGATGTATTGGAGCGTTTAGGGTCTTGGCAGACGTCTTCCTCTGTGAGTCGGTAATGGGCGAGGAATGCCAGGAAAGCCTGAGCCCTCCTCCCCCTCACCCTCACAGATAAAAACGATGTGTCCCTGGTGGCCCGAAACATGATTTTAGCCCGTATGAGGTTTCAACAGCTTTCTCCATCTGGCTTCTGTGCAAACAGTGTTGCGCCCCTACTCCAGTGTTTATCGATTAAACCGTTCACTCTCAGTCATCTATCGTGCTCTCCTTCCTTAGTTGCTTCTCTTAAACATTACAATTCTACTTCTGAAAATCGCAGCAGTCAGTTGAGGACAAGACAGGAGAGAAACATAGAAAGAACATCAGCAATTATCTATAAATATGTCCTTTAGCAGAACAACTGTACATCTGTCAAGTTCCTGCTGGAACTGTCCTTGGAAAAACATGCAGTATTATGAAAATTATGGTGATTTCCGTGGCTAACTTAGCTTGAGTATTTCTCCCCCTTGCATGTCTGCCTAACTTTAGATGACCTTTACAATCTGTGCATGTTGAAGTATAAGTACACATAAGTGCGGCCTCATCAGAAACCAGGAAATTACACGTTTTTTCCTCCTCCCGCTGTTTCTTGATGCACTGTATGTCTTCAGGGAGCTTGTGTATGGCTTCTGAACCTCACAGACTGTTTTAAAGAGGCCTGAAGTGACATTAGAAACTGAAACACATAGAGATGTAACGATTCACTCAACTCACGTTTCGATTCACGATTTTTTATTTTTTTTTAACAAAATGAGATTTAAGACAAATTATAAATTAAATGTGTCCTTTTATTATTGCTTGGACAAAATGCTGCACATTTCTTTGTGAAATTGAAATATAACACTATAATAATATACTAATATAGCACTTGCATATTACTGCTCTTTTGTTGGTTTTTATTGCTTCTATTGTCCTCATTTGTAAGTCGCTTTGGACAAAAGCGTCTGCTAAATGACAAAATTTTAATATAATGTAAATGTAAATAACAAAACTACATTGACATTTTAAAACAAGCCCCAAATCAAATAAGTAAGTAACACAAATAAAATAAATCTCTTCATATAAACAAACTAAAGCTTTGTCTGTGCTCTTTCCATTAAAAATTAGAGGCTACCACTGCATTTTAATCATGATCCAAACAAAGATGCTGCATACATGCAACATGAGCAGTTTTTAATCTAAATTAGATTGTATAATTTTGAAATTTGAAGCAAAAACAGAATGGTTTGACTTCAGTTTTGTGAAACTATACATAAAAATATCTGCATGAAACAGAAACAGCCGACGAGCTGAACGAGATGCAGATTCACTCTCTGCCAGAAGGTGGCACTTAAAGCGTTTCCTTGGTTTCCGCTGTAAACAAAGCAGAGCTGCACTTATGAATTTTAATATGCAATGCATTATACAGAGGCAAGATGAATAGAAAAAACTAAACTTTTCTAAAGACAGTAAGTTCCCCTCAGACATGCATTCATATAAACTCCTACCCCTAAATGAATCGCGAT